CACAGTTATTGCACAGTGAGTGGCTACCAATCCTTTCCTTCTGTCCTCTCTACCCTATTTCCTCCTCCCTCCGAGCGAGGAGTTGTAGAGTGTGAATTAGAGTGTGTTATTTCTTTTTGTATTCTATTTAGCTATTGCTTTTTTAAAAATTTTTATTTAATAATTTATTTGTATTTTTTGGATAATTTATTCATTTTTTAAATTTTTTTTATCTGTTAACCAGTTATCTCTTTAATGTAGTGTTTATTTATTTGTTGTAATGACCTCGTTTGGAGTCATTTTATGTGTCTATTTTTGTTATTAATTAATCTGCATTGATGAAGTAATAGCTGTATATGACGGAGACTATGTTGATGTTGGTAACCAGAAAGGGATCAGCTAGATGGTGGTGGCGTGGGAGGGGTTCGTTTGTGTGTGGGGGGGTTACTGTTATTATTATGTTGTTGAAATAATAAAAATAAAAAATGTTAATCATAAAAAAATTTATCTGATCCAGTGTCTACTTGTTGAAAGCAAACAAACACAATAATACTACCCTACTCACAACAGATTATACTAATACTGTACTTGAACGCAAAGTGTACACTGTAGTAATATATAATATAGTGTATTTGTTGCTAAAACATGCAAAACTGCCACGCCTTTTCAGTCTTTCCAAGAGAAATAAAATCAATTCCTAGGTGTTGTAATAAAGTACAATAGTGCAGTCCCTCCTTCTCTTCTGATTGGTTCAGAAAACGTATAAATTAGTACTCCACTATGCCCCTTTTGGTGCCCCATGTGCCCGGTCCAGCGGCTGTCAAGTCCCATCTTGTTTTTAAATATTAAAAGCTGTTACACTACATAGCATAGGGGCTTTTATTGAGCGGGACAAACTATACAATTCGTATCCAGACAGGTACTAATCATTAATTAATGCTATTTCTAATGAGATGATTGGTTGGAGATACTTTACACGTTGTTTTGTGTTATATTTTGGCTGACATGAATTTATTCTTCTCATAAAACATTACATAAGATCTCATGAAATTAAATGTTTGTTTACAAAAGAGCTGAGTCATATCTAATGGGAGAGAAATGTTTTATGTCTGGGATCTATTTATTTAGACAGATTAGACAGACAAATGTAAAAATGCTCCACAGTCCTTGAATTTATTGTATTTGCTATAAAAGATGATCTCTGTTATAGATGTTGATAATATTTATGCCTGAACTATTTTACCTTCAAAAACCAATAATTATAAAAACTCTCTAAAACATTTTTGCTACACACTCATTCATAAAGCAAGAGACCACAGGACAAATGTTTTTCTTAGTATTTTATAAGTGATGCAACAGCTGTGCTTGTGTAAACACAGTGTTTATTCCATCAGATGTTTGGGTTGATAATCTTGCCCATGAATAGGACGTTTTCTGTGTTGCGGACAGCGATGACGACCATAAATGGACGATCGAACTTCAAGACTGGGATGTGGCGGAAGGACATAAGTGTGATGCCGATGCCTGTGGCGGCTGCAGCGGTGGCTCCGGCCTCATCCACATCCAGGGTAGCTTGGTGCACAACCTGCGGAGCAAAGGAGGCAGAGTGAAACGAAAGGTGGAAGGAAATATGCGTGCAATTATATTTCCTATCCTTACCTCTGAGACTACCAGCTTTTGCCCCTCTGCAATGCCGCTCAAGTCTGCATTATCACTAAAAATGTCTGTCATTCCCATTTCAGTCAACACGTTGTTCAGTTTGTAGGAACTCTTGATGGAGAACTTTGGAACATATACATCATATGTCCTAAAGAGGAATGGGAAACGTACAGTGACTGATCTGACAGTAATGACTGATAACAAACCTTTCCGTATTAAAAACCAAGATCTCCCAACCTGGGCTTCATCCACTTCAGCCATTTGGTGACATGACCTGGGCAGATGGCGTTCTCCAGTGTTGCCATATCGTCAGGCAGCAGCAGCAGCATGGAGTAGGTGCTGTTGAAGGGAAGGTGGAGGACTGATGTGTTAATGGCCTGGTCGTAATATGTATCGAAGCGTCCCTCCTTATTCATCATCTGCACTGGAACCTGGAAAACGACAATTTAAACGTAAAGTCAGGACACAAAGTTTGCGTAACGACTGTAACTCAAATCCATTCTGAGGAAATGAAGCGACTCTGCACCCTGGTGTTCTCGTCCACCACGAACATGTCCGGTTTGGTGAGCTCAGGATCAAATGGAGTCGCCCACTTTCCTGTTTGACGAGTTAAAACACAACTTAAAGGTTGATGCATAAAGGTGTGACCTCCAACAACCAATTCACAGAACCTCTTTACCTTTGAAGTAGATGTAGCTGATGAGATACATGACCGTGTTTGGATCCAGGTTGCTGACCAGCTCGGCTATCTTCCCGTTGGTCTTCTCCCCCACATAATTATTGATGGTGTTGGCGCTTTCCGTGGTTTTGGTGAAATCAACATTGAACCCATCTGCAAGGTAGAACTGCTTCAAGGTCTCCAGGAACTCGGGCCGCGGCTTGAAGCTGTTGTCCACGAAGACGGCGGTCCCTGCACTGATGTCTTCACGAGATGTGGCGTTAGCCTGATCGAGGAGCACCTTGAAGGCCTGATCTACATCTGCCTGCGTCAGGAGGGTGTTGTTGAAACCCAGACCACTGTGGAGCTGCCGGTGGGTGTCCCCCCGAGCTCCTACGGACAAGGCAGCCAAGGCAACAGACACGCTAACTGGGGAGTAGAAGATATTCTTGCCTTGTGAGCCAGCATGAGCTGCCAGCTTCCTGTACAGACGGTAGGAGAACTCTTTGTTTGCTGCAGTCACCCGTGAGATGCTGTTGGAGCTGAGTGCAGTGTCTTGTACTGCCGGATCTTCGACGGTGGTATGACCTATGTGGTGATGGCCTCTCCCCACGCAGATCACTGCTGACAAGATCCAGATACTCAGGGCTGCGTGCATCATTGTGAACTAAGATGAAAGTTCAAAGGTAAACATTGTTCATTCGGGTTACACAATGTTTGCTAACGCACATATTGATTTTGCTAGTAGTTACAATAAATGTTGTTTTAAAGGCCCAATCAGCTTCTTATGAGCGATGAGCGCCGACATGAACAAACCATTTCTTGCCAACGCTTGAACAGTTTAGGTTATTTTACATTCAGATTTTATTATTTTTTGTCTTTCTCTGTGCTCTTCACACCAGTTTGGAGTGATTTAGAGGTGATGTCACATACGACCACGCACAAATCAGGGTTGAGCAACGTTAAATGAGAATCTGATAGTAGTTTGTGGACTGTTAATCAAATTTGATCCACCCACGCAGTTCTCATGAAGCAGAATAGCTGAACTTTTGAGTATTAAACTCTTAATAAATAATAATATATTAATATTTGATTGTTGCATTCTTAGTCATAAATATTTAATTTCATAGAAAGACAGTTTTTAACTTGAAATTCATGAAATTACAACAACACATCCATTGAACCTCCAGATGGACGATAAGAAGAACTCAAGATATCAAACATAGTTTTTAGCTGTTGGAGAATTTAAACTTTTACATGAATCATATATTGCAAAAAAACAACCTATCGGGGTTCTCTGAATCTTTCTAACCACTTACCCTGTCCGACGAAGCACAGACTGGATGAAGGGGGGGGACGTCCCTTTTATAAGATTGATCAGAACAACTGAACTTTGGCTTTGTTGATTTTCTATCTCTGCCTTTTATTTGTTCTGTGTAATGATTACTGTCCAACCATGGCATAGTTTTCTTCAGCAGCATGTACAAAAACCTATATTTCTGTCTCTAGCCCATTCTCTGTATCATATTGTAGAAACCAAACTGATGTTTCTGTATGCAAGTAGCACTGATGTGTAAACTGAGAGCCAGATATTCACCAAAAGATTAATCAGATTCATATTTTAATGGAAAACCTCTATCTATGTAACATGTATATTAAAATATATAAAGAAATATGTTTACCTTAAAGCTCCAGTGTGTAACATTTAGGAGGATCTATTGGTAGAAATTAAGTATAATATTCATAGGTATGTTTTCATTAGTTTCATTAGTTATTCACCTGAATATAAGAATTGTTGTGTTTTTATTACCTTAGAACAAGTCGTTTTTATCTACAGGGAGCGTGTCCTCTTCTAACGTATCTGCCATGTTTCTACAGTAGCCCAGAACAGACAAACCAAACACTGACTCCAGATCAGGCCTTTTATGTTTTGGGGGTTTTTTTTGCAGTCACCAAAGTTTCTCCTAAACTCTTGGTTGAGACGAAGTTTGTCTTAGTCTGCAATTTCACTACTAGATGCCACTAAATCTTCTTACGTCTTTTGGTGTGGGAAATAAGCATTTTATTTTCAGATCAGAATCCACTGACAGTCAGATTATACTGGAACAATGAAGGACCATTGTAGTAAGGAAGGTATTTGACATACAATTAACACCTTGATGGAATCAACTTTGTCAGGAGCTCAGCAACTGTTCTTCCGTTTACTTATTATGAGGCAAAACACTCTGAAAGTCCCCTCAGAGAACAACCATGTTGAGGTCTTCTCTCCGTGCAGAATGAAATAAAGAGATCTGATTCATCACACCGAGGCTGTAATTCTTCAGAGAACTAGCAACTCTCAGTATTTCAGAAGGATTTCTACACAGGAAAGGATCAGATGATGAAAGTCCGTTGTCAAAAACAATATCAGTAGCACTCAAAGTAAAAAAAAAAAAGATTTATGCAAACGTATAATGAAATCAGTGGATCTCATAACATTATGGAGTATACTCGAACTATCTTTATCATATCAGCCCTCGTGTTCTGGACCCATGAAAGCTGACCAGTAATGCTATCAGGTAGGGTTCAGTGTGGGCCAAAGAGCTGGCCGTCCAGTTTGATGAGCTGCCGGAGGAAGCCTCGATTGGGGATAACACCCCGGTTATCTTTCACAGCACAAATAGCCTCCACGAGGGTCAGGTTCTGCTTCAGCATCAGGTAGGCCAGGACCAGGGTGGCAGAACGGCTCACCCCTACATGACAGTGCACCAACACCTTGCCTGAGAACCAGAGACAACATTAGATTCATTTCTAAACTGACACCAAATCTAATTGGCTTTAAATGAGTCATCTACCTCCTTTGCTGAGAGCCCTGTGGATAAAGTCGGCCGCTGCCTGGAAGTTAACGCTCATGTCAAAGTCACAGGAGTCATGAGCCTCTATGCCCATGTAGCTGATCTTCATGCGGTCGTAGATTTCCGGCTGTCCTCTGCGTTTACTGTGAGCTGCATTCAGGATGTGAGTGACTCGATGCATGGACAGATCAGCGCAGTTCTCTGCACTGTGTCTGAAAAACACATCAGCTCTTGTGTTTCCTGATGAACGTTTGCATGCAGCTTATTTCACAGTGATGGATTGATATTTAGGAGACAATTTCAGACATGTGCATTGGAACGTATCAAGAAACCTGAGACTTGCTTTCATGCCTTCCCTTCAGTGGAAACTCTCGTACTTCCCAGAGATGTAATTTACGCAAGTTCCCAATGTGGAATGCAACTTGTGGGATCTTAAGTTACACCGTCTGCATTCAAATATGATTTATGATCAGTTCCTCTTTCACATATGTGGACTGAATCCAAGCCTAGAGTTGAGTAATATTTGTAAAAAGGGCTCAGAGGGCACAAAAAAGTAGCAGACACAGCAGAGAGGCTTAAAAGGCTCCATTCTTATCAGTCACTGTGTGGGTTTTTACCAAAAGAGATAAGCGAGTTACTTACTGGTCACCAATGTAAAGCTTTGGCCACACTTCATCTGCATGGCTGATGATTGCTCTGCCAGTAAACAAGAGTCTTTCCAACTCAAACACCGCTAAACCTGGCGAGCTCAGGTCAATTTCCACTTTCCGAGGAGGGGGTTTATCATTCCAGGAGGCGGGAAGTTTGGATGTATAGGACATCGTTTGTTTCTTTTTGCACGGGGATTCAGGCAGATCTCGGAGGTGACACAGGAGCTTTATGAGAAAACTTAGTCCATTAAAAGTAGACCATAAAAAAAAAAAAAAACCCAAAAAATATTAGTCTTCCTGAAGAAAGTTGGAAAAAATTCCTAGCAAGCTGTCTGGACCCACTGCGTCGAACTGGGCAGCATGACACCTCAGATTTACTCTCCACAGGGTGTCCTAAGTGCTGTCAGGCCATTTGACCCTCAAATTAAATCCAGCCTGTGTGCCTCAACCCTTCCAGGGCCTGTGTTATGCTTTTGCATCAAAATAGCTGTCTATTTAAAGATCTGAATGCTGGCTAGCAGACGTAGGGAGTGTGAGGCCATGCAGCAGTTTCCACTTGACAGGAAAAGAATAAATGATAATGATAATTTCTCATTATTGTATTTTTATAACAGAAGTTTCTGCTTCTTTTTAAAGAAGAAAATAAGCTTATTTATCTGTAGCCGCTATCCACTTAGAGCTAGATATCTCACCTTAAATATATTTGCTGTTAACTTTACAATAAAAAACAATGAGAAGAAGAAAATAAATATTCAGGTGGTCACAGGTTAAAAAATATACTGACATTTAATTATTTCTCTATTTTCCAACTTGTAATAATTTCAATATTTATCAGGCAAAGATTCCCATCTTGTGTCGGAAACATGCATTACATGTGAAACTGTACAGTTGTGCTCCATTTAAACAGAAACTTACCAGCACAGGAAAATGAACACATATGACAGGTGTTTTTTTTGTTTTTTTCATGCAAAGCTTGTGTTGTTATTTTTTATTATTTTATTTTTTTCTAATCATATAAAACCATCCCCTGAAATATGGCACTCTTTTTTTTCTAAATCAACACATCAACAATGATTGGGAAAAAAAAGACTTGCTCTACACAAGAAAATGGATTGCGGTCCAAATCTGGATAACAAGGACGTTAGTGCTCGAGAAAAACAGAAACAACGTCCAAATGAAACAACTGATCCAAGCGCTGTGACCACATCGTCCTTCAGCACAAAACATTACTGAAAATGTTAAAGTACATACTTTCTTTGATCCTTTACAGCGACTGATTGAACACTTGCTTCAGAAAATACAAATCACTTGCTTAGTCATATATATTCCAAGTGTTCAAAAAGGGATAGAAAGAACATAATTTAACAGCTTTTCAAGTAACTCTTAAACTTGTCCTTATTTATCTGTAATAACAGTAGTTCCTAGAGCGAAATACATGGCATTCATATGTAGGTCTGATTCTAGGTCTGCACTTGGGAAGCAATTTCATCCGAAAGATGGAATAACGAGGACAGCAATCTTTAGAGGGTTTTCACTAATTTGCTACGTTCTAGGCCCAGTTTTGAGCTCGGAGATGTCGTGACTGTACTGAGTGCTCGTCTGACATTACAGTGCATGCAGGGGCTGGGAGCGCGGTTGAGACGGGAAAGCATTGCACCTATTCCTGCAGAGACATGGAGGAGCAAATGGGCAACTAAGTGTACGGCCTCTATCGGAGGAGGGGGGAGGGGGAGCTCGATATCGTGGTCATGCAAATGGGCTGCGAGATGTGTTAGTAGACAGCTAACGAAGTGCACGTGTCGTTAGATGTGGGATCAGACTAAAAGGGAACCCACGATCCTGAGGGACAGCATGACGATAATCTAACGGTTGTAATGTGGCACTAAATCAATTCATCTTCCAGTGACTCTGCCCTGCGTTTATGCTGGCAAAGGCGTGACATAAAAGATAAGCTGAGCAAGTGTGTCAGGTTGTGTAGTCAGCACAGTCACTCACTGAGGCTGAAAGTCACTTCTGATATGTACAACCTTCAGTCTGCACTTCTAACACCACCATGTCACTTATACCAGCATAATTAGGCTTTAAAAAGGTCGATTCCATGTACCAGTAGTTGCTCTATCTTGTTCTTGGGTCCATGCCACTTCATTTCACTTTACATCACGGTGGTGGAAACAACCTTAACATAACACAGCTCCGAGGAACAAGACTAGACCCTCAATGAGTCCATGGAAGATCTGGAAGAAGAAAAACAGCAAGACTTAGTGACCCACAAACCAATAAATAAGTCCAGTTCAGAAGGCTTTCTTCTCCAGCTGGTCCAGAATGGCCTGGATCCTCTGTACGGCCTCCTTTCGGGCTTGCCGGACGCTCTCCTGTCCCTGAGTCTCCACAGAGTCCAGCACCAGCAGCTCTTTGGTCAGCAGTTCCTCCAGACACCGATAACTCTTGTCTGTCTTTTTGCCAACAAACTCGTCAACATCTTCCTGAAGCAGCATCACTCTGGCCATGACCTGTTGGACCCTCGCTAGGCCGGGGTTACTGCTCAGGGGCTGGGGTCCGATTGGGCCTGGAGCCGGAGCTTGGGCCGGAGCCGAGGGCGGCGGCTCACCTTGCGAAGGATTAGGCTCTCCTCTCCCGGTTTTGTTGTACATTTGGGGGGGTGAGCTTATCTCGGCAGGCTTCCCGTTGGGCGGGTTCGGGGATGGGGTCGGCCTCGGTTTAGGTCCCACTTGTGGGGCACGTTGGTGCTGTTGGTCCTAAAGTAACAAACAGAAAGATGGTAAAATATTGTGTTTAAGAGCTCTTGTGGTTTAATGTCTCCGATGTACTTTTTTTATTACTGACTGTATGATAGTGTTGGTGTTTGGACAAATATATCAGTTATCAAGTCCATCGCTGGTTGTTCTTTTTGGACGACTTTTGTCTTTTTATTATGCTCATTTAATGGTCTGCCTACGAAGAATGAGAGCTGGCGCCGAACGCACACTGAGCACAAGAATAAGTGAGAGGAAAAACAGCTGTAGCGACAGAATATTTTCACATCTATCTGCTGTGAATTAAGAATTTATTTCAACTAGTTTGAAGACGGGGAATGCAGTAAAAAAGCTGAGGCTCTAACCAGGACTGTTACTCCAGGGAAGACGAGGACACTGGAAGGGACAGGAGAGGAGCTGGTTGTTGGACAGACTCTTCTGTACAACTATAAAACCCTACTGTACGACATCAATAAGAAGAATTGCCTGGTTGCCCAAGGCAAGTAAAAGCCACGTAAGGCTAGTACATCAAACTAAAAAAGGAATGAAAACACATCTCGCTTCCTCCTCATCTCTGTTGAGAGTTGCACACGCAGCGATCGGACACAGGAGTGTCGTCTGGTGGCGTAACCTCTGATAACATTGAGATCAGATGTTCCTAACGCAACCAGGAAACCAGACGTTTCCTGATATTTCCACATTATAACATTCAGATAAAAACAAGTGGGACTGCACCTTCTCTTTCCGTTTACTTATCACTGAACAAACTTGTGGAAAACGACTCTCCAGGTTCATACCTTGGGTTGGTAAGGTGGTGGAGCACCCGTTCCGGTCCCCGGCCATGCTGGTGGGTGCGCTGGACGGACAGGATTTCCGTAGTGGTTTTGTGGCGGCTGCTGGCCTGGCTGCCATTGCTGCTGTGAGGGGGCATACGCACCAGAGTGCGCCCACGCGTCGGCCTGCGAGCTTGGGTGGAGAGCCTGGCCAGAGGGGTAAGGGGGGTTCGGAGGCATCGCGTGGCCGCTTTCATTGTAGTGAGGGTACGGCCCAGGAGGGTATCCAGGACCCTGAAAACACAGGCAGGACGGACAGAAACATTCACCAAAAAGACCAACCAAATCAATTTTATTACTAACGTCACTGTGCAAAGTGCGTAACAGTCAGAGAAAATCAATTGCAATGTTAAACTTGGCAACTCCGTGTGTGTTTAAATGAACTCACCCCTTGACAGTGTGGACCAGGATAGTGATGGTGTTGGTGTTGAGAGTGAGGCTGCCCAGACGGCCCACTGCTCTGCTCCGCCGGACAGACCTGGTTAGGATAAGGACCTGGAGCGGGTCTCTGAGGGTCAGCACAGTAGAAAGGGTTGGACGGGTGGAAACCACTTGTTGAATACTGATTCTGCGCTGGGCTGTAGACGCCGTGGCCGTTCGGATAACCTCCGGGCATTACCTACACAGGAAGCACAAGAGGAGGGAGGAGGGAGGGATTCGTCATGAGAAACGCCACCGACTGCCTGTAAAAGTCTGTCGTGGTGACGTAACCGCGTCCACACAGCAGCTGACTGTTAGAAAATGTAAGTGAAGGGTGAAAGCACTTAAAGAGACTTAAGATAACGAGTGGACTTACTGCTACGGTAACGCTCTCGGGGGTTTTAAGAGGTTACGCTGCAGCATGAGCCTTACCTGTTGATTGTACTGTGGCTGAACATCGGATCCCGACGGATAGGTATTTGCATAGTGTCCTGTGGAATGAGACTGAGGATACCAGTAGTGTGGAGGGTAGCCTGGGTACTGGGGAGCATCCTGTGAACACACACACACACATATATAGATATGTATATATAAATAAAGGAGGATATATAGAAAGATACTTTTATTCTGAGGGAAATTCAAGAGGAGGAGGGTTATTTAAAGAGGAAATCTGTCTTTTAAGCACCAGGAGTGGCACTTTTTATAATCTGAGCAGGCAGAAGATAATAAAGGGAGAAATAAAGGGAAGTGTAAGAACTATTCAAGCCCAAACACACACAATAAAGTGAGTAAACAGTGGCAGCGACTCGTGCGACGGCTTGTTGAACCAGCTCCCACCATAGCAGCCACATTGCACATAATTAAACAACACGAACATGCACTGTAGCACAATCAGCAGTGTTGATAACACCCAACACAAAAAGCCAACTATTACATAACGCTAGCTCCGTTAGCTCTGTCGTTACGCAAGCTAACTGAGGGTCGTTTGTGAATTAACAAAAAAAAACACAGTCGAAAGGCAGCGAACAGCCCCTAGAGGACACATATCCACTGCTTACCATGGTGCTATTCCAGTTCCCGTTGTTAGTTTCCGAGTTGCAAGTGGAGGGCCAGCCAGATTTCAGATTTGACTGCATTTGATGATGGTGGTGGTGGTGATGGTGCAGCTAAGCGCGGTTCCCGGCAGCCGTCCTGTCATCAGCCATTGTTAGAAATAAAAAAAAAACACAATTATTTAACAGAAAACACCCGAACCTGACTGATTTCAGAGGCCGTCGGTTGGCGTTGCCGTGTTTCCTGCAGAAGTGGAGATCCGCTTTATTTGGGATGAGGAAATGATTGAATGACAACGAGGCCAATCGGGGTACTGTCTCTTTAAATGAGGGGAGAGGGGTGAAAACGACAGAGCGCTCACTCTGTTGCTGCTCTCCGGCACCGTGAACGTGCTTTAAACGTGCTGCTAGGATCTGCTGTCACGTTGTTAATGCTGTATATAAAATGTCAGATTATGAGTTCTTCTATGGTCTTACTGTTTGGGTGCGTTTGTAGGAAAAATCTGATTTAATTTAGGCACTTGTTTTGGCCGCACAAGCAAAAAAAAGTGTTGAGTTTTTCCGAGTCTGTCAGTGCCTCTTACGATATACGATCTTTGCTGTCACATGTACGTCAGCAGATGCTTTTAGCCAATAGGAAAAAAGGTCTTTAAAATATTTTTTATTTTTTAATATTAACTCGTATTTTAATCTTTAAAAACTACCCGCTTTTTGCTGCTACATTTATTTAAAGACATTTTCTTAAAACAGCGGTCGAAAAAACGACCACAAGGAGAATTTAAACTGCATTGCAGCGCCCCGAAGGGTTAAACGTGCACAGGAAGTTTATCCCCTGCGTGTATAAAGACGCTTCCTGTGCTCCTCTTAAAAAGAAACATATTTTGAAACATTCATGGCTTGACGTTACATAAAAGATACACGAAGCCAAATAAACAGCAGCCCAAGATGAACTACGTACCGGGGACGGCGAGCCTCATTGACGACATCGACAGTAAGTTGGAGAGGGAGGATCCGCTCCCTCGTTCAGGGGGTTTTTTTGGTGAAAGGAAAAAAAAAAAAACAGTTTCAAGATGTGGCATCGTGTGTCTCACACTTGGAAATCCCTCGTAGCCGCTGAATATTGTGCTTAAACACGCTCTTGTTGGTTGTGTCCTGCAGAGAAGCACCTGGTGCTGCTCCGAGATGGCAGAACACTGATCGGTTACCTCAGAAGCATTGATCAGTTCGGTATAACTCGTTTGATTATCTCCCACTTTGTCTGCACTCATATACACATGAGACACAAGCTTTTTGCAGCTAACTCCATAAAGTTAAACAGTTTCTAAGCTTTATTTGCGTTCTTGTTCTCTGTAACTCTGCACTTTGTATCTCTAACCTCTCCCCCTCCCTTCATCCCTCCCTTCATCCCTCCATCCCTCCCACCGACAGCCAATTTAGTTTTTCATCAGACAGTTGAGCGCATCCACGTGGGGAAGAAATTTGGAGACATCCCCAGAGGAATATTCATTGTGAGAGGAGAGAATGTGGTGCTGCTTGGAGAGATAGTAAGTGGGAATGATAACCTCTGTTTTATGTGTGTGTGTGTTTGAATGATGTGAGCAGCTCAAACGATACAAACTTGGGGTTCAACAACAGTAGATGGAGAGTAATTACTGCTAATAATATACTATACATTAGGCTTCAGTCATTAACATGTCTGCTGCCTTCTAATAAATATGATTTTTTGTTTGTTTGATTGCTCTTTGGCATCCCTTGTTTTGTAAATAAGGACTAGGCCATGCAGGAAGATGGAAGATGGGATGATGTGTTGTATGAAAGCGGAGGAACGCTCAGATGAGCTGCACAGTTTCTGTACAGTTTGTGCAGCAGTGTGTTCACAGTTTGATACATAAAGGTTATTATCAATGTGCAAGATAAAGTCTGAGGGATGTGAATTAATGTAACACAGATTCAGCGTGGGTGTAAGAGTCAGTGTCAGTGGGGGGCCAGCTGCAGAACGGGGTCAATAATCAGGAGAAACTGATATTATCGTGTATCCGATCATTAAATTATACAGCCGATAAATCTGCAAACTGTTTATTAGGCTTTATGTTCTGTGAAAGCCAAAGTAAGTTTATGATTTTATTTTATTTTTCTGTTTGTTTTTGCTGTGGAATATTAAATCTTTGCTCCCTACTTCTTACCGTTAGCTATGCTTAAACTACAGGGTATGAACTTCTTTTTTAAATACAAAAATGTTAAATATTCAGTTAATTTATTGGCGTCGACCATGAGAAAACAGGTTATTATCAGTTATCGTATCGGTTGGGGGGGAAACAAAATCCATATTGTGCATCCATACTGTAAAACTGCAAAATACAAAACAGTCTAAGATTGGAAACCTACATAAACATACAAACAAGATACAAGAAGAGTTGTCGGAACTTAAACATCATAATATTAGATCTTCTCTACTGTATGTGAATGTGACACATTACAGTGACAGTACGGGACCTTAGGCCTGCACACAACGCATACATGACACATGAACACAGACTCTCTAACTCTATAAATATGCATCACTTTATCAGCACGTGATCCTCTAATAACATCGTGTTATCGAGCTCAGTGCTCCGGAGGATCTTTTGTGGTAGGAGAGGTTTGCAGTAGCTTGATAACTACACTGAGTTGTTATTTCAGTTTTATTTTATTAGTCATTTATTACTCATTATTAATTTATTTCAATTGCTGATGTGGGTAGAGATTCAGTCAGCATGCAGGCGAGGTTTGTGGTGGAGTATTGGTGGCTTCTTCAGACATTTCTACGGAGACATTAGATTACCACAGCGGTCACTATCGTCAATCAAATCTCTGCGTGCTCTATGATAAAGAGGTTCTCGAGCAATGTTAATTTGTAATGGGAGGTTAGAGAAAACAGATTGCTGTTAATGCAGTTACAGTGTCGGACAATGAAAACAAAACACAGCTGATAAACAGTGAAATTCCAGTTTATTTGTACTGTGTAATAACATAAACAATCTGGTGACTCTCTGTCTCTGCAGGATGTGGACAAGCCCTGCGACACGCTCTTGCAGCAGGTCTCCATCGAAGAGATCCTGGAGGAGCAACGGTTGCAGCAGCAGGCCAAACAGGAGACGGAGAAAGTCAAAATGCAGGTCCTGAAAGACCGAGGCCTTTCCATCCCCAAAGCCGACAACCTGGACGAATACTAACGCGGCCTTGACCTCCGGGAGCCTCGTTCTCAGTTTGCGTCGGACTGAGACATTTTTACGTTGAGTTTGAGAGCATGGGAGCGTTTTTTGTTGTATGGGTACAAGGCTGCATCCTGCTGGGCCTGTATACTATAGCGTACTGTATGAATTTAATTTGAATTAACTGGAGAGAGAGAGAGAGAGAGATGCTCTCACTTTTGCAGATCATGACAAGAAATGGAAAAAAGTATATTCATGTGTTTTTGTTTAAGATCACTCTTTTGACAACTTAGCAATTATTTTACAGCAGCACTTTGTATTTTGTCACTGATATGCTGTGTCTTTTTATTTGGAGATATGTGGGCCTGCTATTGACACACAAAAAACTTGCTATGCTCCATTAAAGAGTTTAGTTTTTCATGATGCAAGGCGTCCTTGGTAAAAAAATCCTACTGTTTCACTTCCTCTGCTGTCTTTAATGCATTAAAGGATGAGATGTTTGGGCACATTTGCAGCCCGTGATGGCACCACCGTCTCAGCACAATGTGGCATCAGAACGTGAGACTCCTTATGAGGGGGGAAAAAGGTCATGATTCATTTGGATAATTGAGTTTAGGGGCAGGCGGTGTATCGGTGCATCAGACTGCCGCCTCACGTCCTGTTTATAAAGAGCAGAGAGCGTCCGGAGAAATTGATCTTATCTGCCTGCATGGATCAATAACAGGCTTGTTAATCGTTTGGGATGGGAACAGTGAGTTAATATTAAACAGGCGCTCCGCAGGAACCCTGTGACCGCCTCACTGCTGCCCTCACACCGGCTTTACAACAGCCTGCATGCAACTACAAAAAAAAAAAAAAGAAGAAAACGTTTGCAGAAAGATGTTAAGTTTTGTGCAGGTACGACTTCCGGTCTAACTTCAAAATAAAACTCCACAGAAGTCCCTTTTTGTATAATTTATTAAAGTGACAACCTCTGACTAAGTGACATATTTAATGGATAGTTCATATTATATTCCAAACTGTACACTTAATCCAAATAATGAACACAATATATGCAAGACTTTAGCAGATTATTTCCTGTTTAGGAAACTTTTTATGCAGTCCTCTATTAATTTATTTTTTAAATAGTTTTTAACAATCATACAGACTTAATTGGCTTCTTCTTTGACAAATTCAATATTTTCTTTTCCTTGACGCTTAGCTTACTTCACATTATGTTTACTTTTCCCTCACAGAAGTGAACCAAATGTTGAGATATGGGCCTACTGTGTATATTTAAAAAAACATTTTTATACCCCTTAAAATCAAAAGGCCTCGCGACCTCTCCCATGAAGCTTTGACGACCCCTAGTGAGGGTCCCGACCACCAGGTTGGGAATCACTGTCTTAATGAATCAGGAGAGCAAAAGTGGAGATTATACCAGACTATACAAAGATCTGTACATAAACTGCTTTTAGATTACGCCACCTGAAAATGATGGAAGACAAAAGCCTCCAAATATATCTAAATATTAAATTGTCACGTTACACTTTACGCACCGGCAATCCTTTGGATCTCAGGGTTTGGATCCTTTTATCTGAAGTAACCAACATGGAAGAGGTGATCTGAATATGGCCCAGGTGAACAATTATTACAACCATATGGATGTATTTAGTTTGCAGTCATGGGTCATCATCTGTAAATCTCAGCAGTGTGCAGAGGCAGTTAACAAATGGCCTGGTCCAACATCAAAAAGGCAAATAAAAGCCTAAATCTTGAGAGATATTGCCACCTAATTCAATGCATCTGTATCATTCAATACAAGGACTGTTCTATTATACAGAAATTCTACCACCAGATGGCGACTTTACCTTTTTTCCCCCACTCAATGGCCAATTTACCCTCATTTGTATCATTGCAATAGAGCCAAAGTGACATTGTGGTGCAACTTTTACGTAAGTGTGATATAGAAACTTGAAGCCACCAGTGCACATACACTGAGAATGGACTTCACAGTGAATAAGCAGCAATGAACACTATTTGTATATCCAAATATCCTGGACATTTTAATGAAGCAGAAAGAGTAGAAGAATTTTAATATGTAAATTCATACTCTAAAAAAAA